TATCCATTGTGCGTGTTTATTAAAGCGAGGCTCCAAGGAATGAAAGGGGGGGGGGGAAAGAAATAAAGGACGCACATAGACCTTCTATTCAGTAATGTTTCAGTAAACTGCACAGCTATCTTGCAATTTAATAGATGTGGATTTAGGTGAATAATACAGTTACTATGTAGGTGCAAACCTTGCAGCTCGTCTTAAAATTATGTGTAAAGATTCTTAAAGCTTATGGGGTTTCTATAGGGCATTCGCTGACCCATATTATTAAATTATTAATCATGCTATCAAAATCTCACTGTTCAAGTTATGTTTGGAAACATCTATACATATTTTTATGAATGAGTCATTTGTTGGGAAAGCACTTTTTTTTAAAAAAAGAGATGATCTCAAGGAAAATAACATTTTGGGTCACAGATGAACAAAGAAATCATAAAAGAAAACAGTGATGAGAACATGCATAAAATGGGATGAAGTGTAAACCTAAGCAAATGGCTTAAACAGACGAGTTTTTAAAATTGTATCTAATTTGTGATGGTTTTTCCCTGGTTCAGGCCATAACCTGATAGGCTTGAGTACTCTATTAGGGAAGGACTGACAACTTTTGATTTTAAGAACGAGGAAATGTCAAATTTCTAAATTTACTGGCTTCAGACTTTTATGCACTCATTCGACTTAATTGTATATTGTCAGCTTACACCGTTGTAGGTTGAAATGCTTGCTATTCCTCATTTCAGGAGCTCCTGGCCATCAAGGCCAGGGTTCAGGAGCTGGAAATGGAAGAAGAGACTGAAAAACTGAAGGAGGAAGAGGAGAGATGTGATGCAGAGGAGATGCAGCTCCTGACCAGCAGTCCCCGGCCTGGTAAGAAAGACGACTTTTGCATCTGATCTGTAAGGCGGTTTGTCGTGCCATTATTGGTGTGCAACTAAATGCATATTATGCTCTTGGTGGGGACTCTATAAAGCAACGTTTTCCTTTTAGACCAGGTGTGGAGCATTGCAGCCTTTAGGTGGCTGAAGTAACATTTTTTATTCCCCCCCCCCCATCTGGCTAACACCTGCGACACCTCACTGTGGTCACAACGGTGTTCACATGTGCCTCATCACTGCCCAATGAGACGAAGCAGTGAGCTCCAGAGAACCAGAAGTGTCCGTCTTGTTGCCTGTGGCTATTTTCTGTCTCTGTGCATCTCCTCATGTCTCCCTTTGTTTTGCTTTTCCAATAGAACTGAGATGCTATCAGATAAGACATTTTTGTCTGCTGTTTTGGCAACATTTCAAAGTGGCTACTTGCTAAAACTGAGAGGTGATTAAGACATGTTGCATGTCTTTTTTTGTTGTTGTTGTTTTTACTCAGGTCCGTTCTACAGTATGACTCCTGAAGAGAGGATAGATGCAGACAACCGATCAATCTATGTTGGAAATGTAAGGATTATGTACCATTTTGAACATGTATGACTTTATTTTTATTTTTATTATTCTAGTTTGACCCATTGATCAAATTTCAGGTAGATTATGGAGCTACTGCAGATGAGCTGGAGATCCATTTCAATGGCTGTGGTCCTGTAAACAGAGTTACCATCCTGTGTGACAGGTTCTCGGGCCATCCCAAAGGGTGAAAGAGCTTAGTTTTTATATCCACCATTCTTTACCCTTTATTATTGTATTAATGGAAACATTCAGGCCATGTGCAACAGTCTGCTTTTCCTTCTCGTCTTTTACAGCTTTGCTTACATCGAGTTCTCTGATCGAGATTCTGTGCAGAGTGCCATTGGTTTGCATGAGACTGTGTTCAGAGGACGGGTTCTTAAGGTAAATCTATAAACTCTGACGTCTGCTTTTAGAAAGATGCTCACCGGCTTTCCATCCGTTTCCCTCAGACTTCGGAGGGATTGTTGCTGGCTTGTACAAACCTAATGATAGCTTTGAGCCGTCTCGCAACTCCAGTGATGGAAGGTCAAATTTTTGTTTATCCTTGACTATATGGTGCCTGAATGCTTCAGAATATCAGTGTTTTCTCCTGGTAATATGTTTGATTTGATGGTCATTTTCACAAAGATTTAAGGGAAAGTTTTGAGTGTGCTTAGAAAGGATTCGGCTGCTGAACCATAGATGAAGGTAATCTTGAAATCTACTATAACCTTGACATCAAGTTCCTCTGGATTTCACTGCGACCCAATTAAATGTTTTTGTCTGGCCTGCAAATATTTTTAAATACTGCTAGATTGGGTTAAACTGTTAATTTTGGCCTTCCTTTACACTTCTGTTTTTTTAAAGCAGTGTTTATCCTGAGAATGAATTTGCAGTTTGCCTGAACCCAAGCATCGTTTACCATTTTCCTCTACGTCTTGGGTTAGTTAGCTTAAAGTAAAGCCTACATCACCATCTGAAATGCAGCATTAGGCGGTGCTCCTGGCATTTGAAATCGGAACTTATTGTTTTTGTTACCTTACGGGGTAAATGTACTCCGAACAATTGAAATCTTGGAATGTTTCCACAATACTTGAATCCAGTGAACAAATTAAGACTTTTCTCTTTCTAGCTACATAAGCATTACATTTACAGTGCATTTCATTGGGCAGTGTGAAAAGCTATATTCAGTTAATGAATAATGCTGTGCAACATATTTTGAGGATGAACTGAACTTTTAACAGATTTATCACTTGACTCTCAGGTATTGCCTAAGAGAACCAACATGCCCGGTATCAGCACCACGGACAGGGGTGGACACAGAGGAGGTCACACCAGAGGCAGAGGCCGTGGCTACCGTCCCCCCAGGTACCAGAACAGTTCCCGAGGTAGATTCCGGTACCAGTCTTCAAGACCGCAGCACCAGTCCCCCCACCCTTACTATGGAGGACCATCAGCGGGAAAGAGACAGTGGGGTCACATGGACTACCATGAACAAACTACGAAACGTTACCCCTGCCTCCTTCTCATCACACCACCATCTGAGGATCTCGGGGCAGCGTCGAGTGGACAGCACTACCCTCAGCAGCGTTAGCACTAGCAGATGTTGGCTGGCTGGAAGGGATTTTTAAACTCTAAATGCTTTCCAGCATAATTTAAGTATTGTGATGCCTAGGATTGACCAGTGTGACTCCTAGGCAAGATCTGACAAAAGCTGACTGGGGTTGATGCGATATAGGTTTGTTGCTGTGAATGCATGTGACGTTCCTCAAGTTGCATCTGTTTTTAAAAAAACTGTGGTTTTGTTTTGTAATGTATAACCCCTCTGTGTGTAACTGACAAGCTCTTTGCTACATGAATAAATAAAAAATAATTGAACACTCAAGTGTAGTAAAAGACACACACTGGTATCCAACAGCATTTGAGTTTATTACCGATTCTTTTTTTTTTTTCCAAGAATAAAGGCAACATGTAAACAGAAGAGAGGGTCATATGTACAGTGGATGCTCAACAGAGAAGGTGAACAGGAAATGAAGTCAGCCTGTCTGTACCATCATTCCAGAAACGATGCCATTGAAGGCCCTGGATAATGAGGTAAATGTTAAAATGCATTTCAAAGCCTTCCCCCCCGTCCCCCACCCTGTGAAATATGTTTGTAAATGTATAACACTAACTTACTTTGACTGAATGGGGTCCCCAGGATTGTAGAATGGGTTGCACATTACATCAGTAAATGAGTTGTGCAGTTTTCTAAACATCTGGAAGAAATGTAATCACAGGAAAAAGATTAGACAAATGCAAACTGCATATCAGTTACCTATTTGACATATATATATATAAAAAAAGAAACCAAACCCTTTAATATGATTAATGCACTGGGAAAGATGACTGGTATAAGTTGCATACAGGTCTGAAATGCCATTCAACTAAGATGCTCAATAGAGTGACCTGATAGACATGGGCTAAAGGTGATGTGTAGGACTTTAGTGGAAATGAGGATCCAGAAGACCAGTTCTGTTAACACAATCGCTTCCTAGCTAAAAGTCAAAACTACTTAAAAACTAAATTTACTTACACTTCGTATTTCATTGTCCCGCAATGATGTATTGGAAGAGTCCACAACAATCACAAATTTCACCTTTGAGTTGGTCACATACCCATATCTGTTTCTTCCAGTTAAGGATACACATTTGTCGTTTCTACACAAAACCTAACCGATCATCTACGTTTTATTTGGCATAGTGCTTTACTAGTATTTGAGGTCTAAAAATGGAGGATACACTTTATAGTCTTCAGTTGGATAGAGCAGTCCCAGGTAGAGCTCCCTCTGGTCTGCTAAGGATTTGCCCACAGCTGAGACCTTCTCTTCCACCACATCCAGAGAGGTGTGAACTGTGTAGTGGAACTTCAGCTCATTTTGAGAGGGTACACTGCGTATATACAGCGGGTAGTTCTGGGGGGAAAACATCAAAAGACAAATATGAAACTGCTAAAAGCAGTATTTAGAAAGAAATCGCTCAAGTATCACATAATAGGAGTGGGAAGTAGTAACAGGATGCCATTATCGATGCTAGGCACTAGCTTTGTTGGATTGCTTAATTTTGGTGAAAGACAAAGCTGACAATCATATACAGGCGATTAATGACGCTACGAAAACCCTGTAAAATGTAAAAAAGTCCTACAGGCAAAGAAATTAAACAAGAATTGGTACCTCTTTAGCGATCACCGCTATGCACACCGCCATGTTTTTGTTCCTCCCCTGAGCTGACAGCTAATGTCACGTGACGAGTTGCATTCAAATGCTGAGGGGAAAAACGAGCTTCTAATGAAAACACATTTTAAAATATGTTTCCTGTTCAAAGAGTGTTGAATTCACGCTAGCTATAGGGTTTAATTTGATTATAAATTGATATTTGACAGTTTTTTAAAATGTTGATAAATTGTCAGTATTTTTATTTAAATAATTTAAAACAGCATTACATTAATCTGTCAACAAATGCAGCACAAAACAACTTTATTTAGTTGTATGTTAGCCAATCAATACAACTAAATAAAGTAGCTTAAAACTTAACCGCATTAAAATCCTAAGTTAACAATTAAGGACCTAAACTTTCGTTTCTTTCCTCGGGTACGTACTGCTCTGGCAGATGAACGCTAACGCAACAATCCTCTTCCGTGATGATCCTGGTGCTCATATGACTACAGCACAGCAATGCGTGTAGTGTGTGCTCCAACTTTAATTCTCATTAGCGTAACAATATGTTGTTCCTTGACAGAAAAGCTGTCAAATGGTTCATCTCCAAACATTATCATCATGCTCATGGATGACGTAAGTTATTTATCTGTGACTGATTAAACAAACCAGCTACGAATGCATCTTTCGACTTATCTTTATGCACTCTGTGTTGACTTCTTGTTTTTTCTCCTGTAAACATTTAGCTGACTTCCTCTGCTCTTTTTTTTTTTTTTAATAGATGGGCTGGGGGGATTTAGGGGTGCTTGGTCAGCCCTCCAAAGAGACCCCTAATCTTGATGCCATGGCAGCTCAGGGGATACTTTTAACAAACTTCTACACCGCAAACCCACTTTGTTCCCCATGTGAGTCGGCAGAAACAATGGTGATACAGTGTCTGAGTCATTTGTGCTTGTTTTTCCAGATTAACCGAATAGATATCATAGAAATAGAAATCATGAAAGTGAAAAATGTTTCTTTTTCAAGTGTAATGTCAGGTGAACAGAAATAGTACCATTGTGCTGCACATTTTTTTATTGCTTTGAAGTTAAATGCTTCTCATTCTTCATTTATAGAGCAACACATCATGGGGTTATCATGTGACAGACCTGAAAACCTGCCAAACCAGCTCAGTGTTTTTATTTGTTTTAATATGTGAGGAAGATTGTTTGCTTGTCTTTGTGAAATCCTCTTTCTGAAATAACATCTATAGTTCATTAGCAATGAACTATAGATGTGGTTCATTGCTAATGAACAGAAGGAATGGTCTGATGAAGACATAATTTAGTACATGCAGATTAACCACAGGCATGTAAATGGTTTGATTTTGCGAGAAGCTGCTGTTAAAGGGCGATGTCATTACCGACACCTGAATGAGTTGGACAGTGGAGGATGTATGAAGCTACGTGGACTAGGATACTAATTCATATTATGTGGGTCATACAGGTGACCCAGTGACCTTAGGCTTGGGGACGACAGGAATCAATACTCAGAATTTGAACAATGCCAGTGTTAACCTGAGCAGCACCTTTCATTCAGATCTTAGCTCAAGTCTTTTAATCTATTTTTGATCTTGAATGTTAAGAATCTTCATTGCAATGTTCACATTGGAGCAGGAACTAGTGAGAATCCCATTTACAGATTTATTTGTTGACAATAAGAACATTCAAATTAAGGGCTACAAATGTTAATATTAATTTTGTCTACAGCGCGAGCTGCGCTCCTCACTGGGAGGCTGCCGGTGAGGAATGGATTCTACACCACTAATGCTCATGCCAGGAATGGTAAGCTTTCACAATATTTCTTGCTGCATACAAGTTCCTCTTTCGCTATATTGTGTAAGTACCAGCTGTGTGTTCACCTGGTGACCAATTTCTTCTGTCTTTCCCTTTTCTCTCACACTTAAACCTTTCAAAACATCAAACGACATGTAATGTCAGACAAAGACAATCTGAGTTACGTCTCAAACATTTAAGTGTGACAAAATAGCAGAAATGAAACAAATGTGAAGTGTAGACACTTTTCAAACCACTGTGTTTTAGTCACATGTGTTTGCGTGTGATTAAAAGCTTTTATGTATTTTTTCTATTTCTGTAGCTTACACGCCACAGGAGATTGTGGGAGGAATCTCCAAGGATGAGATTTTGTTGCCTGAAATGCTAAAGAAAAACGGTTATATCAGCAAGATTGTTGGCAAGTGGTGAGTTTTGAAGTATTTCCTACATTTTCTACTTTCTTTAAACATTGTAATAACCGTATTATTTGCAATGGATGCGTTGGTCCTCCCTCACTTGTTGTTTTTACTTTTCTTTCTTTCTTTCTTTTTTTTTGCAACATATTGACTGAGTTTTGTCTGAAAATGAACCAAGCTAAATTCTAAACTCTTTTGGTTCTTCAACTGTAATCATTTCACTTTTGGATGAAACAAAAGAGAGAATGCACATTAAAATCCTGATTTTGGCTGAGACTGATCAACTATGACAAAATGCAGAAAAAAATATAACAAACATGTAGACATGGTCACCAACCTATCCAAAGATGATTGCCTAATCTTTGATTATGCAACTAATTATCTTGAAGTTATGCAAATTGCAGAAGCCTTACATGTTCTGTTTTGAATAAAAAGCTGAAAACACAAACAACGTCTTGAGACATTGTACATGATTAGGCCTGTAATGATAACGCATATTACTGGTCGATATAAATTGTTCCAGCAGTTATTGCGACAAACGATAATATTGTTGTTTTCAGACCATTTTTAAGTAATATAATGGTAATGGCAACATAGTAATGCAATAACACATTCTTAAACATCAGTAAACTTTAAATTCTAATGGATATTTAACACTGGAATTGGAAGACATTTTAAATATCCAAAATAAATAAATAAAACAACAAATCAAGTGAATTTTGAAGTCTTCATAAACAAAATTGTCCTTCAAAAAAAAGGGGCTAACTGGAGACTTTTATCATGCAGTTTTTAGAAAGAGAGGGAAAAAAGAGATAAAAGAAAAATCATGCCAATGGATATTATTGAGTTTGCTTTAATTTATCATGCGATTAATTGACGAAAATGACTAATGCCTAATTATTAGGCATTAGTCATTTTCGTAATGACTAATGCCTAATTATTAGGCATTAGTCATTTTTGTCTTACAGTATCTGACTGTCTCTTCTGTCCTTCTGTGTTCATGCAGGCATCTGGGCCACAGGCCGCAGTACCTACCTCTGGAGCATGGTTTTGACGAATGGTTCGGTTCCCCAAACTGCCACTTCGGCCCTTACAACAGCAGCGTCCGACCCAACATCCCCGTCTACAACAACTCTGAGATGATTGGAAGGTAGCGTCGCACACACAGGCACAGACGCGGAGACTAAAATTCAATAAAAGCGTGTTTTCCCCACCTGACTCAGTTGTATATTTTGTTTGTCTGCTCCTCTGGATGAGCTCAGTGACTCCCTCCTCCCCGTCTACACTTCCTCCTCTGTACCAGCTGGGCCTGTGTATTCCATTTTCCGCCCATTTGTTTTCCCCAAAACAGCCATATGTGTATTCAGGGTCATTGGAGCCGGCAGCCGGGCGTGTTTTTCGCTTAGCCGTGGGTTTAATCAGCGCTGCATACCTGGGCCCTGGACAGAAATGTGCACACGCTCACACACGTGTGCGTTCGCAGAGACACACACGCCCTCGAGAGACGGCAGGTTGCGCCGCCTCTGCGCGAGGACACCTGGAGGAAGTGAAGCATAAGAGAGAGATTTCTGTCACTGCCTCCACGCTTCAGTAGCGCCTCATAACAGTTCCCGCTGCTCTGCTTTGCTGAGACTTCGCACATATGTCTTCTCCCCCCACCCCAAAAAAAAAAAAAAAAAATTCCTCTAAACATCATCAACAAGTCGAAAATTAACTTTCGTTGTCTTAATGATATTATCCGCACTAGTTTAAGTCACTTTAGAAGGAAATTAAAAGTCCCATCTGGTCCTCTGCTCAATTGAGAGAAAAGAAATCAGGTTGTAAAACTGAATAAGCAGAAGAGGTCAGGCTTTGTTTAGTTGGGATGACGGCTGTCATTTGTTTTCACAGATACTTTGAGGACTTTAAGATTGATCTACGGACCGGAGAGTCGAACCTCACTCGGATGTATTTGATGGTGAGTGAGCGCTTTACTGACGTCTCGTTTCCAAAATTTCTGGCTCAGATCATCCAAGTTTTTTTTTTTTTTTTCCCGAGAAAGAAAAAATTGCAGGTTTTCTTCCGTTCAAAGAAAAGAAAGCAGCATGACGGAGGACTGTTTCTGACCGAAACATGAAAGCACAGAAACAAATTGCCTGTAACAAATTAGAAAATGCAGTTTTATTGTTGTGCTGCTTTCTCCAGTGGAGGTGGATTATTGACTTTTTCACACTCTTGCAATGAATCTACATCAGTCTCTCTCTATTATGTTCCTATAACAGGATCAAAAGCAGCATGCTGAGGCACACTGCATGCTTGAGAGGTGTAATTCATCTCCACATTAGGAGCATGTCTGTGGAAGCGAGAGTGGTGTCAGATGCACAGTGTGTTTGGACATGAAAAGCACGTTCTGAAATTTGAACTCTTGTTTTTGAATTCTTCTGCAGCATACTGCAACAGAATCTGTTTGAATGCACGATAAATTTGATGCATGGTATTCTGCAATCTTTAAGTGTCTTAATAGACGTAGAATGTTTTTTTTTTAAAAAAAACATGTTTTCTGTTGTTTTCAATTATTATAACTCTTTTATAAGATGAGCTTCATGTTGCACAGTTTCGTCTTCTCATCTCCAAAAGATCTAAAATCGGTTTGTTTTGGTTATGTTTCACAAAAATCTCCAGCCTATGTTTATTAATAAAAATGTAAATGAAAGTTAGTTTTAAAAGTTAAACAGCTAACCAGTTTTATGTATAAAAATAAATCCATGTAAATATGACATAAACATAATTCTGTTGGGTCTGTGATTTACTCCAACTTGTACACCTACACAATCTTTTTTTTTATTGTTGATGTTATAAAACATCAACAATAGATTTACAAATAATGACTAATTTGGCTTATTTGAAACAAAAATAATCCAAACGTTGACCTTGAGAAACATTTCACTGCGTGACTGCCTCAAAGTACTATTCACAACTATCCACTTTGTAAATCTGAAAAGGTGCATGCATCGACAACATCAACGCTAAGTATATGAATTGCACGTTTTACTAACAGTAAATCTCCCACCTCTGCAGGAGGGCCTGGACTTCATACGGCGTCAGACTGAAGCCAAGCAGCCCTTCTTCCTCTACTGGGCCGCTGATGCCACTCACTCCCCGGTCTACGCCTCCAAAAGCTTCCTGGGGAAGAGTCAGCGAGGCCGGTAGGCAGAGCTGCACAAGATGAAGAACCACAGTTACCTTTGTAATACTACTGTACAATATTACAAGTGTTATGCATTCTCATTCTGCATGCTAATTGTATATCTGTCTGAATAAGTGGTCTGTGACTGGGTTAGCGTGGTGCACATGACGGTAGAT